GTCCCAAGTTGCAATATACCGCGGGAGAGAAGGTCGGTTTTCGAAAACACCTTTCATAAACCTGTGGACCAGTGGATGGGTGCCAAATAGCAAACCATCAGAGAGAAGGACATAATTATAAAGAAAGTGCGTTACGTGCTGTATTAAGAGCACTATAACCAATGCTAGTATTGTATAGTTCTGCCAGATAATTCAACCTAGCTTCTATAGGTGTTCGGAAATCGAATAATTTGTCTTTCGCTACAGTATAACTGCCATCGTTTAATGTAGGGGTTGTAGTGCTTTCTCTCCAAGATTGCACGACCAGTTCGGCAGCCTGCTGTGAAAGTCCACGGTCTTTAAAGTGCCCGTAACCCCAAAATTGATTTTCAGCTTGTTAAAAGTATGCTACCAGTGGAACAGTATTGCGAAAAAAGTTTTGTGTTTGGTTGAAAAGCAAACATTTTAGAGCCACTTGAATTATGGATTGCTTGGTCAATGGACGTCGTGTACGGGAGTCTGGGTCTAGCACAATTTCTGACGTCACGCGAGTTACTGAATATCACCACTAAATAAGTAAATACACGAGTCTTGCCACTAAAACTTTGAACTGAAAATCATCATGGTGATATGGTAAATCTTTCGAAGTTATTATCGTCGTATTTCAGGAATATTACAATTTACAGTATATTATGTTCAACCTAGGCCGGGTTACATGATCTTTGATACACTTGCAATTGTTGTCACACGCGTACTAAACTGCAGCTTCTCTATATTTTACGATCATTTTTAGTGAGCATTTTCACAACTTTATGAAACTAGCTTTGCCACGGTTTCTATACTACGCTGATCGATCCACCAAGGATAAAATATGTTGTGTTGATGCTTTTAAGTTGTCTCTGTGGCAATATTTTATTGCCACATACCGATCATATGACAAGACAATTTACACTATCTTACAATTTGGTGCGGTCATTTCACGATCAAAGTATTGTGTTTTAACGGGAAAGTGTTCTTGTGAAGTGCGAATATATTTCTTAGAGTTAGAGTGGGCAACGAATACTTTGTACTCGCAGATCTCAAGCACATATCAAATGGCAGTATAGTGACACAAAATTTACGATTCCACTGCAAATAATATAGCGAATGCGTTTTAGAACATAAATTTACATAACAGAACATAAATATATCATGCAACGATTATTAGCGCAAACGGTATAAGCTTGGAAAATCATGATTTTCGACAAAACAAACGCGCTATTATAAAGACACGATCAGCACCAGGCCAATTTAGCCTAAGTTCCGTTGCAATTTAATACGATACTTGTTATTGTTGAGCAAACTGCCAAACTGGATCAAGTTTAGATCAATATTTTCGAACAAGCAAGCTCGCTCTTCTTCGGTGATATATTTGTACAACACAGGTTTTTTAAAGCTGATATTTCCATTGTTCTATCGGCTAACGTTCCGTAGAGCGTCTTGTTATACTGAAATGTTCATAGAAACACGCTCCTGCTGAAACCACAACTAACTTGCGTGACGTCAGAAATAATGCTCGTTCCAGACTTCAAGCAGTTAAATATTCCGACGGCCATGTGCCAAGTAAAATCGCAATATAAGCAGGTTCAAGTGGCTCTAAAATGTTTTGCTTTTTAACCAAAAGCAAAAATTTTTTCGCGAAACTGCTACACTCATAGCATACTTTTAATAAGCCGAAAATCAATTTTGGGGTTACGGGCACTTTAAGGAACATCCCCCGCTACCTGGCATAGCAATAAGACTAACTTGGGGTAAAAAGGGTGAACAGGACTTGGTTTGGTTGGCTTGGTTGAGTCAAAATGTGCTTCCCGATTGGTAACTGAATTGGCACTTGTATCAACATTCTCATGACTCTTCGCCACCAAGATTGGGTTGGCCACTTTGGAATGACTAACAATCCTATGGCCTTGTCTGACTGAATTTTGTGCAATACTTTGGGTAGAATGCTAAAGGGTGGAAAAGCATAAAATGAATATGTTGACCATGATATACTAAAGGTATTCATAGCACATGCCTCTGGATCTGGTTTGAATGCAACAAACAGTTTCAGTTTGTAATTAAGCCTAGAAGCGAACAGATCTATATTTGGTGTAGCGGGCTTTCTGTACTGCCCGAGCAAAACAACTAGGATCTAGGGCCCATTCACTTGAACCCAGAGCTTGTCTAGGCTTTTCTCGATTGTGCTAGCATATTTTTTAGCATAATTTGGGTAAATAAGCATAATTTTGCATTTTTTTAGAAAAAAGCACTGCTAGCATAATCTGCAGACAATTGCCAGACATGTCTAAGTTTCAGAGCAAAATGCTAAAGATGTGAAATTTTTTTTAGTTTTCTTTATACTTGTTCTTTAGAATTTTGTCCTAACACTTGCAGGAAGTGATTGTTAAACAACACTACGCTGACTACTGTAGTTAGTAAGGTAATCACCTTAATATGAGACCCAGTCCACACTCCACATTTCCCTATTACTCAATATCCAAGATGGCGTCAGCCTCTCAGGAAAATATAAACTTACAGGTTGCACAAGGAAGGCAACAGGAAAATAGTGATAATAATAGTGCAAACAGGCCACCACCTGCGAAAATTGCTCGAGAGCGGTGGTCAGATTCAAACAAGAATAAATACAAGAGCCGGGGAGCTTCTGACGTGAAGAAAATTTGTTTACGAGATCGAGTAAATCAATTTCCAAATCAACATCTGTGTGTTAGAGGTAACGCTATATTTTGCAATGCTTGCAAAGAAGTGATTTCGTCAAAGAAAAGCATTGTAGTTTCTCATTGTTCTTCCAAAAAACACGAAAGTGGAAAAGCGCAGTTACAAAAGTCGAAATTGAGAGACCAAACTATTGCCAAGGCCCTTAGTCGTGAGAAAAGCCAGAAAGAGAGTACACTGTCCTTAGCTGAGCGAGCATACCGACAGCAAGTAGTGGAAGAGTTTTTAAAAGCCGGAATCCCGATCCACAAAGTTGACAAACTACGACCTCTCTTAGAGAAGAATGGATATCGTCTCACTGGTAGTTCCAATCTCGGGCAGTATATATCCCTCACTTTCAAACAAGAAACTGAAAGAATAAAGCAAGAAATATCTGCACCCGGCAGCACAGAGATGACGTACAAGAGACGTGTCAGTAATATTTGACGGGAGCACCAGACAAGGCGAGGCAATTGCAATCATCGTTCGCTTCATCAATGACGACTGGGTGATAACTCGGCGTCTTATGCGGATTGACATTTGCTCAAAGTCAGTGAACTCTGAACAGCTAGCAAGGGTTCTGAACGAATCTCTGTCAGTCGAATATGGCATTAAGGCAAACTCATTACTTGCAGCAATGAGAGATGGAGCAAGTGTATATTTCCAAACCTACTCAACGTCGTTTGCTTTTCCCACACGCTCGATAATGTTGGTAATCACCTGCTTATTCCTACTCTTTTGCAGTTTGGAAACCTCTGGATACGCCTGTTTAGCCATAGCCACCAGGCAAAATTAGCATGGCAGGATCTGACGGGTCGAAAGCCAAAATCCCACAGCGAAACGCGTTGGTGGTCAAAATGGGAAATTTATCAGCAGCTTTTGGAGCAATTCGGAGATGTTGGCAGATTTCTTGAAATGGCAAAAGATGCGAAATTCTGTGCACAGATTGTGCCACAGCTTCAAGCAATCATGTCTGATCCCCGACGCCTAATTGACCTCAAGCTGGAGCTTGCTGTGACCATTGACGTTGGGCAACATTTTGTGAAGGCTACATATTACTTGGAAGGTGATGGTCCTCTTGTGTTTTCCTGTTACGAGAAGCTGAAAGCTGTTGCCGAGGCTTGGCAGAATCCACATTTTCCAAACGTACGTGCAGTCGCTGTCTCCATTGCAAATCAAGATCCAACCCAAAATGTTGAAACGCTGGAGAAAAGGGCCAAAGAATGTGTACAACCAGCCATATGATGGTTGCTGCGAAAGTTTAATGTGGAACTTTATAACACAGTATCAGCCTTCAAAGCTACAAGAATAATGTGCCCTGTGGCCGTCCAGTGGTTAGCACCCACAGCCGAAACAATTAAGACCTTGAAGATCTTTCCATTTCTTAACAATGATGCTACAATTGACGCCCTGGTTAAAGAGCTACCGCAGTATGTCGCGGCCGCACAAGACGTGATAATTTCATCCGAAGAGAAGAAGGTCGAATGGTGGAAACATCACGCAGAACAACTTCCCAATTGGTCTTCTGCTGTTAAGAAAGTCCTACTGGTTCAACCGTCATCCGCTGCTGCTGAGAGAGCTTTCTCAATACTTAACGCCTCATTCAACGATCAGCAGCATCATGCACTATCAGATTATTTGCAAGCAAGTGTAATGCTTCAATATAACAAACGTTGAGTTGTTAACTCAGAGAACAATCAACGAACTGTATATATAGTCTGGGCAACAGATTTTGTGGACGATGATAGAGCCATATGAATAGACTATTATGTTGAGTTCAGGAGAAAAGACTATTAAAAGTTACAAAATTTACTTTTTATAACAAAATACGTTGATTTTTCCACTTTTGTAGCATATTTTTGAATAGCATAATATAATAAAAAACAAGCATAATTTTTTAAAACTGGCATAATTCGAGCATAATTTAGACATTAAACCAGAACTGCTAGTAGCATATTATGCTACTTTTACTAGCACAATCGAGAAAAGCCTAAGCTTGTCTGGACTCTTTGTCAGCCAGGGTGTTAGATACACCTGGTATATGTGCAGCAGAGAGCCAAATGCCATTGCTTACACACCAGTCCCGGACTAATCTAGACTACCAATTGAGTTGCAAGCTTTGGAGTGACTGGTACCCATGTGATTAATGGTAGCTACTGCAGTAGTGTTGTCAATGAACACATGGACATGCTTGTCTTTTACATAATTATGAAAGGATTTTAGTGTCATAAGAACTGCTACTATTTCTAAATAGTTGATATGGTAGAGTGGCTCAGCCGGGGTCCACTGACCGCCTGTGCTCAAGTCACCCAGGACACCACCCCAACCAGTGGTTGAGGCATCAGTATATATAACAATCTCATACTCGCTGTGCACAACATTAAATGCACTAGGGAGAGAAACTGCCCACCAATGTAGGTCCTCAATAGAAGACGAAGATAAGGTCATAGAACTATTACAATTCCCTTTACTCTTCTTTAGGGCTTCATTTTTATCCATGTCAATGCTGTGATAATGCAGTGGGCCGTACATGACAGCAGGAAAGCTTGCTGTCATCATGCCAATAAGTGATGCAATTTCTTGGGCAGTTGACAAAAACAAGTAATAAAAGTACAAATATATTTAGTACATATCTTTAGATCTATTAAAGACATGTACTGTATATATATTTTGTAAAAGACATGTACTGTATATATTTTAGTAAGACGGATAATTGAAAGTTTGAAACCATCTGGTCGATCAAGGTTAAACATAAATTATATAAAAATGAACTACTTACTTTCCTTTAAAAGTTTGCTTGAGTATAGTAGATCATATTAATTCTGCCTCCGTAATTGGAAAGCAAACTAGAAATTGTGTTGTCATACCACTGTGGCGATAAAATATTATTCCCGCATGGAGAACTTTGAACGAACAAAAATGAAGATATTTTAGGGCATGCGCAATCTGGATGATTTTCGTTTTAAAAGCATTAATATAACATCTTTTATCCACGGTGTAGCGATCAGCTTGGTAAAACTTCGCAAAGTATCTCAAATTTGGGAACATTCACCTTGGTTCACGTTGTTCGCCATACATTTCTATAGAGCGTTTGCACTCATTCCCGAGGGACCAACTCAACAAAAGACATGGCGGCCATGTTGGTGTTCCGGACAAAGGAGTCTAATTAAAATTCTTTTGAACTGGAACACCAACATAGCGGCTGTGACGTCATGTGCAAACGCTCTTTAGTAATTTGTATCACACCGTGGTCCCCAGAAGAGATTTTCGCATATATAATTTGGCTTCACTTTTGACACCTATAGAAGCTATATCCAGTCTATTATTAGATCAGTGGTCTATTCTGGCGTATAGTATAAGCATAGTTGTGCTTGGATGAAGATCAACTATACAAATTACAATAACACAACCATTCAGTTTTACCAAGGAAATAAATGTGGTGTTTCCATTGAGTAAAACAAACAAAACAATAATATTCAATATTTGTTATGCTGATCGCGCTTCAATGTTGCCATGTATATGGCCCGTAGAACCTCGTGGCTTAATACAAAAATTATTTAATTGAACAGATTTTTCAAGAATCGTCTGGAGGAAATATTTAGTCGTGAAGATTACTTCGAATCATTTAAAGATATTTACACTAAACCATACTGCCGAATTCCGCCTTATGTAATGGGAATGGTGCTGGGGTACGTTCTTTACGGACATTTTTCAAAGGAATTCAAATTTCCATGGGTAAGCTAGAATGAAATTTTCCAAACTCTTATTATCTGCGATGAACAAAGTCAGTGTATACCAGACAAATTATATAGAATATCCTAGAACCTGGTTTCATTGATCGAGAGCTATGATACATTAGAGGACAGACTTGCGGAAAACTTCGCCTCCGGTCTGCGTGCAAACCCATATCGATGCATAGCAGCCGGCAAGCTACCAGGAAGCCTCGTCCGTCTCCCTTCACTGACAAATTAGACCATATAAGGACGGAACAAAACAAATTTTATTTAACAAGACGCTCTTTAGAACGGTAACTCGCTGGGGATATACAAATGAAAACTAAATTTTGTCTCCATATTTGCATTGTGCCCCAATAGCCGGATTCATCCTACTTTATTATTTTAATGGCTCATACAGTAGCAGTCGATTTTGCTTGTCAAGGGGAAAGTGCTGCCGCTCTCAAATTCGCTAGGTTTGTATTGCAGCAGGGTTTATTTTAACGTGCAGTTCTACACAAAATATGCAGTTCTAAACCGTCCTATTTGTGCAGTCCTTAAAACACAAATGTTCGCCAAATTAACAAAAGGGTAATTAAAACAGTCTTTTCATTTACTCGTTACCATTGTGGATGCTCCAGAAAATTCCGGAAATGCTGTCATTAATTGAGCATCAAAAATATAAACGATTTCTGGGGGAGGACTCCAGACCCTCCTATTTTCCTCATAAATCACTTACGTGCTGGGGTAATGGAAAAGAAGGTAAAATTGGGGGCGAGCGAAGCTCCCCAAAAGGGATTAGAGTGGGAGAACCTAATATTCTTTGCTGCCTCAAATGCAAATTTAAGGTTGTTATATATTGAACATCCATGATTCCCAGTTACATATTTTGAAACAGTTTTTGTGAGTGGTTGGGCAAAACAAATCTTTGCCAGAACTTAACAGCCTCTAGATTAAATTATTTGGGGGAACACCCCTAGCTCCCGCACCCAAAATCGAGTTTGTCTGACCTTTCTCCAATTCGCCCACCCAACCGTTATTCTGTCACCTCTACGCAGGTAAAAGATCCTTCGACCCCAGTCAAACACCCGTTGCCTTCGTAACATCTGTATGTGTGCAGTTCTAAATTTTTCTTAAAAGTAAACCCTGTATTGCAGGCCAGGTATAGGTGGCTCAGTTTTGAAGTTTTTGTTAGTATAATGGCCCTAGTTCAGGATTTATAGAACCAGACACAGACCTAAAATGCAGTGCCCTACAAATAAAACTTCCGGCGTTTCTGTTATAATAATTTAGTACGCTACATTCTTCTGTCGGCCGCCAGTTGGTGAGTTGGTCCGTACGCTAGGATTAAACTGTGCTTTAAAACGGTCAAAATAAAATATTTGGGGCTTTTGGGCTGAAAATACTATCAAAATGAAGAGAAAGGTGAGACGAATCCACCGGCATACGGTCGAAAAAGAAAAAAACAACGATACCAAAGTTTAATATCAAGGATCAAACGTATTGCATTTTTTATAATTAATTTAATAATTTTGAGCGATTTTGTCAACAATACAATTTCCCTTGGCTTTCAAAGACAAAGGCCATAAATCGCTAGAATAGTGTTGTTTAGTAATACATTTGACATCCGTAAGTACAATTTCTTACGCTGAATCGATAACGGTGGTATTTTTATCCTTATTGCGCCATTGGGCATTACAAATACAATATTATATTTCACACTACAGTTTTCACGTTTCCACAGCTAACTAATTAGGGACTGTTGTTGCATAAATTTTATATTGATATGACACCAATATGCTTCTCATAAAGTAGTTCTACCAAACCGTAGTTACGTACTTCCGGTTAACATGAGATGCACGCTGTGTGTTGCCATGAGTCAGTACAAGTTGTGTAGCCGTGAGACGAAGACGTTTACTTACTTGGTTGACTATTTATAATTGGACGCGAGTGTTGGGAACTTTTCAGGTAATTATTTTCCAATTCCTTTGCTTTATTTGTGTTTATGCTTCAGGTTGTTTAGGTATTTATCGAATCGATGAAGTAAAGCCCTTACGACAAGTCGACAATCGTTTGAATAATGAATTTTGTATAACATTGCACAATTTCATAGTCGTATGTATTCGTCGTTTTAACGACGTTTTGGGAAAGAAAGTTTTAGTTTCCCATTGCAAAATCTATAAAGGGAAAGAAAAAAGAAAGTTATAGTTTCCCTGCGTCTATTTACCACATTTGAGGCTATATTTGCCGCTTGAAGGGAAGAAAGTTATAGTTCCCTTGTAGACGCGTACCAATGAAGCGTGACAAATACGCCATACTATACATGGTGAATATTAATTCATTTCAGCTGTGAATATGACTGACCAAACAAACACGGAACAATCTGTTGATTTGACCACAGATAATACGACTGATTTAAAAGAGTCGATGGCTTCAATGATGTCTGAAATGATGTCGGTCATGAAAGACGATATGCTCAGACAGTTTGAGGAGTACTTTGCCGCTCCTGAGCCTGAGGCCAACACTGGTGATGTTGAGGCAAATAGTGATCAACCCTCACCCGATGTGTCGGCTGCCATCGAAAATTATCTACAGCCTCCAGACCCTAATTCGACGTTGAGTGCATTTGACGAGTTAGCTGCTGAATTTTCTACCACAGACAAAACGGGACCGGCAATTGATGACAAACTGGCTAATATTATCAGTGATTTAGTCAAAGACACTTTGCCTAAGACGAAACTGGACGAGGTAATCAATAAATATCCTCGCCCAGAGAATTGCGAAAGCCTGGTTGTACCAAAAGTTAACAAAATTGTTTGGCAACATCTCAAGCAAAGTGTCCGAACCACCGACAGTGCCATGCAGAAATGTCAAAAGTTATTTACCTCGGCAATGTATGCCATTATTCAAGCTTGTGAGCAAGTCACGGGAAATGTTAGAACGATTTTAACACACGCGCTGGTTCTAGCCATGTCTGGCAACAGAGAATTTAATCTCAGGCGACGTGAGTTACTGCGGCCAAGCGTTAATTCTCAATATGCCACACTCTGTAATCCATCAACACCCATAACCTCCGAATTGTTTGGGGACGATATCAGTAAAGAAATTGATCAAGTGGCCAAAGCTAACCAACTTGGTAATAAGCTTTCCAGTTTGCGCAGAGGCCGTGGGCAACGATATCACCCATATGCAGGATCACCATCGCCACACTACAGCGGTACTGGGCCCATGAGAGGTCAGGACAACAGAGCTCCCGTTCCTCGAAGTTTTCCATCTTTTTTCGGAGGCAGAGGCTCCTATCGACGCCGACTAGGAGCCAAAATGGGTGCAACACAGACAAAACCCAGTCGCAACTAATCACTCCTCACCAGGTTAGTTACAGGGAACATATAGATAAATTAGTTAATAACCAACCACGTTTTGTTGGGGGACAGTTGAAGTTTCACGTAAAACAATGGCAGGACATTACATCCGACCCTTTTGTTTTGCGTTGTGTTAGCAATTGTGCAATTGAATTTGATTATGAACCTATGCCAGCGAGACATATGTCAAATCCAGAATATAAGTTTTCATCCGCTGAGCAACAGGCCATTGATAACGAACTTGCGGAATTTTTGTCAAAAGACATTATTGAACAGTCACATTCTGAATATGGGAAAATTATCTCTCCAATTTTTTTGCGACCCAAAAAGGACACTGGTAAGGTTCGAGTAATATTTAACCTTAAGAACCTCAATAAAGCTGTCACCTATCGCAAATTTAAAATGGACACACTGGAATCGGCAATTAAATTAATGAAACCAGGCTGTTTCATGACTTCCATAGACCTTCGTGATGCCTACTATAGCGTTCCTATCACGCCAGAACATAGAAAATATCTTAAATTTATGTGGCGAGGTGTATTATATCAATTCACATCTTTGCCGATGGGACTTACAAGTAGCCCACGTCTTTTTACTAAAATTATGAAACCTGTGTTTGCTACTTTACGCAGCGATATGGCCACTGTTGTTTGGGCTATATTGACGATTCAATCTACATTGAAGATACGGTAAAGTTATCTGAAGCGGCCACATTAAATGCAACCCAATTGATCACTCGGTTGGGTTTTGTTGTCCATCCGACTAAGTCGATTTTTGAACCCACACAACTTTTGGAATTTTTAGGATTTTTGCTCAATTCTCATACCATGACAGTTACACTAACCAGCAAGAAAGTAACAAAAATAGTAGCTGCATGTGAACATTTACTAAAACAGACGTCAATTATTATTCGAGAACTGGCATCATTAATTGGAACTTTAGTTTCCACGTTTCCAGGTGTTGAGTTGGGGCCCCTACATTATCGCACATTAGAGCATGATAAAGATCTCGCATTGAAAAGATCTAATGGTAATTTCGATTCTGAAATGAGTTTGTCCCCACCTAGTATTGATGATTTGAAATGGTGGGTCTCTTTCCTTCCAACCTCATATCGGACAATCGATCATGGTACCCCACATATCACTATGACAACAGATGCTTCCCAGGTGGGTTGGGAAGCCACAGTTGATGGACACAACACACAAGGACTATGGGACGCCCATGAAACAACATTTCATATCAATATTTTGGAACTATTGGCTATACAGTTTGGGTTAAAAGCTCTTCTTGATAAGGTTCATGATCAGCACATCCGCATTATGTCCGATAATACGACGGCAATATCCTATATAACTTCGATGGGGGGATGTCAGTCTAAAGATTGTGATAATATTGCTAGAGACATATGGTCATGGGCTATTGCTCGGAACAATTGGCTGTCGGCCTCGTACACCCCAGGGAAACATAATATTATTGCAGATAAACTGTCTCGGGAGTTTAACATGACATTGGAATGGCAGTTAAACCCTGCCGTATTTGATAAAACATCGTATCATTTTAGTAAACCCGGTATTGATCTTTTTGCTAGCAGGATCAATCACCAACTTGATATTTACGTTTCATGGAAACCAGACCCAGGGGCGTCATTTGTTGATGCATTCACCATTAACTGGGCACTGTTTGATAACAGTTTTGCTTTTCCGCCATTTTGCTTGATTACTAGATGCCTTCAGAAAGTCGTTCAAGAGCAAGCGACCATGATTATTGTTGTACCAATGTGGACCACACAGGTATGGTTTACTCGTCTTCTAAGTTTGCTGATAGACCACCCCAAAGTTTTTAAGGTAACCACCATGGATGTTCTATCCAATCCTCTACTGGGCAATATTCACCCTTTGAGCCACAAATTAGTGTTAATGGCATGCAAAATATCCGGCATAACCTCCTTAACCTCAAGGTTTCTCCAGAAGTTGCCGACATCATTATGTGTTCCTGGAAATCCGGCACTCAGAAACAATATACAGTTTACCTTACAAAGTGGACCGAGTTTTGTATTCAAGGAAAATTGATTCAATGCGACCTACTGTGAATAATGTTCTAAATTTTCTTCATACCTTGTATGCACAAGAATTGTCTTATTCAACTATTAATACTGCTCGTTCAGCTTTATCTGGTTATTTAATGGATACCACTTTTAGCGGTACAAATTATACTATGACGAATCATCCTTTGCTGGTTCGTTACATGAAAGGTGTTTTCAACTCTAGGAAACCAACACCCAAGTACTCTGAAACATGGGACGTAAATGTCGTGCTAAATTATTTGGCAACGTTGTTCCCGCTGGATAAGCTGTCGTTAAAGGATCACTCCTTTAAACTAGTTATGCTGTTAGCCCTAACATCGGGTCAACGGTGCCAAACGTTGACATACTTAGATATTCAGTCGATGAAAGAGACGCCAGATTCTTATGTTTTCCAGCTTACTGAACATATAAAACAGAACAGACCGGGAAATGTATTCTCTACTTTTCATGTTAGCAAATATCACCAGGAGGAGTTATGTGTCTATCGCACCTTGAAGTGCTATTTGTACCGCACAGCGACATTGCGCAGCAGCACATCCACTAGACTGCTTATTTCATATGTAAAGCCTCATGGTGCAGTTACTACCAATACGCTAAGCAGATGGATCAAACAATTACTTACTTTAAGTGGAATCGATACTTCGATATTTAAGGCCCACAGTACTCGGGCAGCGAGTGTAAGCAAAGTTGCTGCCTTTCTACCAGTTGATGTGATACTAAAACATGTGGGATGGTCATCAGACTGTGTGTTTCGGAAACATTATAATAAACCTATTGTAGATAATAATCTGTTTCAAAATGCCGTGTTACAATAAATGTTTTTGCATAACATGTTTGTGCTGTTGGTTGTGTACACAATTGCTTTGAAGTCTCATGTTAACCGGAAGTACGTAACTACGGTTTGGTAGAATTGGAAATTAAACGAGCCTTACCTGGAAGGTGATGTTTGATGATAATTCTACCAAGTCCGTAGTTGTACTGAGGGTTAACATGCCCTTCCCAACTTTCCCCGCCCGTGGTTCTAACAAACATCTTTTAATTGCGTCCACAACCGTTTTAAAGTCTGACTCATGGCAACACACAGCGTGCATCTCATGTTAACCCTCAGTACAACTACGGACTTGGTAGAATTATCATCAAACATCACCTTCCAGGTAAGGCTCGTTTAATTTC